TTCCGAGCACGAAAGGAGTCCCTGCGGTGTCACGTGTGGCTTCACAATATATATATACCCAAACACTCCATTATATGCCACATATGCATACATTGACCCCTCAAACCACCCCAATGTAGGCGTATATGGCATACATGGAGTGTCTGGGTATATATATATATATATCCTGCTGTGGTTTGGAGTGTTGAGGAACTCAAACTCTTCTGCAGGGCGAAGCTGCACCATGTGAACTCGGCTCCGTCTTGTGAACCTCTCAAGTGTCTGGGCAGGTCACCTTTCCATTGCTCTCCATAAGCCCAAAAGCCAATCCCTATATGCATTCTATCGGATTTCACTCTATCTCTCCCTCCAGGTCCTTCCCCTCAGCCACACTCAGGCCACCCGGCCAACTTCTCTGCTCCCTGCCCCACAGGTGTAGCGCCACACCTCTTCCGCCACCAGCGAAGCGCCAGGCAGATCCTACAACGTGGCGGACGCGGTTCGCTTCGTGCCCTTCGGCCGTTCATGGCCCCTCCGCGGCACACGCCGAGGCGCCACATCCGGATCCAGCTTGGCCATTTTTGTGGCCCATTGCTTGTCGTGACATGTCCACAACTGCATGATCTCCTCCCTCAGCGCAAAAAGGCTTCCATGGGCAAACCCGTCAAAGATTTCCAGTCTTGCGACTTGTCATCAGCAGTACGAAGATGCCTACGAAAGAACATAGTACCTATAGTATACCTCTAGATCTGGTTCCTCGCGTATTGGGAACAAGCGTAACAAGTATATATATGTTATAACTATCAACTTGATTCAATTTGATGCTGTTTCTTTGGCTTGCCAAAAGAATGCGACCAAGACGTCTTGCTCACATTCTCCAAGCAGACCCACCCAGCAGAACACGTCTCCCACACCCAGCAGAACACGTCTGTCTCCCCATCTCTCGGCCTCTGCAAGCGTTCCTTCCGCCGCTTTGGGCGTTTCTGCACTGCCTCAAAACATGCTGAAACGCCCAAAGACCGCTTTGGACGTCCGGACATCTCTGGACATCTCTGGACGCCAAAAGATCGCGCTCATCACACGACGGAAGTGAACGGGACTGCATTGATCTCCAACCAAAAACGGAAGCCTTGGGAAGCCTTCATGTTTTTGAGCAACTATCTTCGGATCTTCATCTGAGCAAAATGGTCATCTGGTCTAAAGTCCAAAATTTGACAAATAATCATCTGAATATCTGAATACTTAGTAGCACAGCATCTCCCACTATATCCACATATATCCACTAATCTGTGCCGCAATCTGGTCACAAAAACTTTGGGCACCACACCGCTCATCACCGAACCGGCTTTGGGCACCACACCTTTGAGTGCCACTGCATAAAGAATCCGCTCACGAGGCGAAGATCATGGTATTGCCTGTTGCGCACGCCGGACCGCGGGCGCCGATGCGCGCAAGGGTTCGCCAAACGCATCCATCCAAAAGCGAAGTGGAACCCACTGAGGCTTGGGATTCGTTTTTTTTGGTTTCTTTACTTGATTTCGGGGTCTTCTTGCTTCATGAACCTTTTTCTAAGAGGAGCTCAAGAAGCCGGACGCTTCTGAACGACATCACGCTTCCGTTCCGCGGACCGCTTGGTTCACCATCTGTTCCACGTTGTTGTTCACCAAGGTGAGTCAAAGGTCTGGTCTCCCAAACACATAATGTCGCATAATGTGCTACTAGGAGCGATCGGACGCTACTTGGGGGCTCCTGGCCTTACTACTAGGAGCAAGAAGCTACTAGGAACAAATGGCATCGCTACGAACGGAGCAACGACGCTATTAGATTCTCCATACATTGACCCCGCTTCAACCTCCGCGATGTAGGAAAATACTTATACACCAAACACCAGTCCCATGGAGTGTCTCATTGAGTGTCCCATGGAGCGTCTGGGATATCCCCCATGCATGATTAACTTGTGGCATAGTTATAGCATTTTATAGTCAGGTATGCCAAGTTAAGGGATATCCCCCATGTCCCCAGTTTAAAGTTATGCCACTAGTTATGCCCCATACATGACCATGGTATACTTGCACGGTGTCTTTGGCTTCTGGGCCTTCTGTTCACCTCGTTGCTCGGCACGTTGCGCCCCGCCTCACCAAGCTGGATAAGGCTCGCGTCTCCAAGCGGAGCGGAGAAGGCTCCGGCAGCCTGTCCGCTGGAGCCTCTGCAAAGGACGAAACCGGTTCAAGCTTTTTGGAAGTGGTGAAGCATCTGACTTGGACGCTGGTAAACATTCGGCAGATTTCAGTAGATTCTGTCGCATCCTGCTGTGGAGAACATGGGCAATGGGCAAAGCCCCTTGGGCGGCTTATATACCTGAACATTCAATCGTACGCACTTTTCGGAGTTTCCTAGCGTTTCTTTGATGAAATGAGCACCTTTCAATGTTTTTGATGAAGCGAGCCCTTTTTCGAGATGTTGAACACTGAAGTCTTCTTGGCCAAAGGAGGAAACCAGCGCAATGCGCACATTTTGCCGCAACACGAGCGCAATTAGAAAGGTGGCGAACCACCCCAAAATGGGTTGGATATGAGAGGAATCCAATGTGCGTTATTTGAGTGTTTGTAGCGCGTGTTGTTTGAACGAGCACTTTTGTGAAACGAGTGTGTGTGGTTTTTTGTTGCGAAGGAAGCTATAGTTGTCCCTTGCATTCTCCTGCAAAATATGCTTCAGACTCCTCTGACTTCATTCATTCTGACTTCCATGTTGTAACATGATTCTCCCGCATTCGACTTTTAAGACATATTGAAACACGTTAACATGAAATCAAAGGACACTCCAGTAAATCAGGCTCTACTACCGACTACCCCACTCATTCTAAACTCAGTGGGGACCACTCTTCACATTGAAACAACCCAACTCATTCCCGCCTCTGGTGCCGCTTCCACCTCCTGGCGACCGTTTGGCCGACCGAAAAACACCGACCGGTCTTGGGGACGGTCATGGCACCGGTCCGGTCCTGGCCTCCGGTCATGGCCATGCTCCGGTCATGGCACCAGCGAAGCAACATAAGCATGAACAAATGCGAACGTCCTGTTGGCCAGTTCCAAGACCCATCATTTGATATCTAATTTGGCCCCGGGTATATCCCGCCAGTACCAGTAACAGTGGGCGATGATCCTTACTAAAGCCCTTTCTCTAAACAAATAGTGATATTATACAACTGTTTGCCCCGACTGTTACAGTGATAGGACAAAGCCAAACCATATTGTGAAGAAAACGCATAAACCACACCATTGCGCCAAACGCACTAATATTAGCACACAGATGAAACGCAGGCTAGACATCTTCCAGTGTAGATGGAACGTCCTGGATGCATCACGGCCCTCGCCGCGGCCCTCGGCCGCAGCCTTGAGAATCACTTGTGCTGTTTTTCCGACACAGGCAAACTTCTCCAGCCGGCACGCAACAGCACCTATGCAGTTGACCAAACGTTGTTTGGGGTGCTTCCAAAGCACCGGAATCCGACGCATACCCCTCCTTCTTGAGCGTGACCCATCGCGGGGGGCTAGTCTGCACCTGCGTGGGTTCGGCGGGCCATCTTTGTTTCGCTTCATCATAGGCGACCTCGTCGGAAGAATCGTTATGCCAAGAGCCATCATATTTTGGTTGCCAAGAACCATGTGATATTGATGGGTTACTACATTGATCTACTTTGAAAAGTATATCACTCTGAAGAGACACACCGGACCATAATCATGGCCCCAAGAAGTTCGGTGTTTCCTGTATCATCCTTTGTTGCCCTAATGAAGTACCTACGTGGACGTGTACATACATGAGATTACTAAATTGCATGAGTCCATGGAAGTGCAAGCCTCTCAAAAACCAAGACCAACGTTCATCCAATGATCAACGATGTCCAGTGATCATTCAATCTCAAGCTAAGGGTATACGGTTTTCCTTTTAAGGTTCTGGCAATGTGTTTGGGGGTGCAGTTGTCCAATGGTTGTCGCACTTTGTTGTTGTTGTCGTTGTGTTGGTGGCTGTGGCTGCTTCTGTTCACTTTGACTTGTTCTCTAGTCTGGGGAGGACTCTAAAACAATAGAAGTTATGTAAGTGTGTGATCCTCTGAACCAACCGCTCAGCTGGCCTGCGCTGGGCTGACCCAACTGGTGGACACGGTTGTTCCAGGAAGGACCTTGGCCAGGAGCGCCACGCACCAGTCAACAACAGAAACAGTTCCACCAGACAGTTCTACCGCTGTAAACCACATGTTTCCGTCATGTCCCGTCTGTTGAGCCAAAACCACCGAAGGGACATATCATATTGTGGATTTTGGTCTATGTCATGGCTGACGAGCTTTTTGTAGGTGTTGCTACCATATGGTGATACAGGGGTACCTGGTGGTTTTGGTCTTGTTGTAGTGAGGTACTTCGGGTTGTGGGATGGTTTTCTTCGGTTGAGTCTTCTGCACTGTTTGCAGTAGCCGGATGAATCTTGTTTTCGTTGTTGGGGGGCCGTCACAAGGAACTGCTGAAGTAAACAAAATTCAACCCACCTAAGAGCCCCTACTGAAGCACAAGCACGCATTCCTCACAGCGACCTGTGCACCAGGCACTAAACAAATATTGCAGTTGTACCCCAAATGTGGGAACTACTCAACACGCGTATCACCTATACCTTCACACCTATGTCTCAATACCTGTATCCAAGCACCTGCATCTATGTAGATGTGATGTACCAGGTGTTGCACAAGTGTTGCCCCTGCATCTATGCACTTGAAGATGATGATCCTTGACAGTCATCTCTGCAACTGCATATGGTGATGACGATGACGATGACGATGACGATGACGGTGAGGATGAGGATGAGGATGAGGATGAGGATGATGATGATGATGATGATGATGATGCTGGTGGTGGTGGTGATGATAACAATGACAGTGATGTTGATAAAAATGACAGCACTGATGATTATGATGTTGATGATGCTGTTGATGATAAACCATCAATAAGATGATCCTGAATGTGATGTCTGAGACGATGGTAAACATGATAGTTAGACAGTTGAAGTTGATACCCGTTCTTGAAGGAGAACCCTTCCAAGCTGCATTTTGAGAAGATCGATTCCATCAGCAAACACCGACCGTGCAACAGTGAAAAAAACCAAGCCAACCGAAGCCACGAACAGCCAAAGCCAACCGCCGAAGCCACCACAAGCCACCTAAAGAAATATGACGTCCATTGCACTCCCTATGTCTCCTCCACCTCCGCCCATCTCCGCCCAGATCTCGGTCTCCCCAGCACTGGAGAGGCGAGAGATCGAGCTGAGACGCGGCGAGTTCGTGCCGTTCCAGGCCACTGCCACCTGGCTTTCGAGGCATTGCGAAGAGGCATTTCAATGATGGATGATGGATGGCTTCATGGTGGGTGGCAAGCTATTGGACTGGAATCCCAGTATTGGATAGTGGTGGTATGGCTAGGGATGACCCTCCGGAGCACAACCCACGAATTCGCATCGGGACATCCTCTGCGATCGGTCGCGATCTGGAGCGACTCGGTCGCCGATGGTGACCACGCTGTTCGCTGTTTGCTGTATCCAAAAGTTGTTTGCTTGGTGTTGAAACCAAACACTGTGTTCAGTCCAAGGTCCTTTCCCTTTAAGAGTTGAAACTTTGAGGTATGTATCCTAATGATTCCTAATGTATTCTAGAACACCGGTGCAACGTGTTTTTTCGCCGACAAACACGCCAGGTATGCGAAGGGTGAAGGCCATGGCAAAACGGAGGATTCAGTCCCTGAATGCATGGGGCATCTCTGCGTCAAGGCCATTGTAAGGGAACTCACAGGGCTGAAGGTTGACTCAACGGTCTAAAAGTCCCCAAAGGCAATGATCGTTGGAATCATTGGGATACCACCCCCAGCTGTTCATATTCACTGAGCACTACCGTAAGTGAACATCTGACTGCCGAAGAAACATCACCACTGGGCGAAGTTGAGGCCTACAACCTCGGACCAACAATCTCAAAGATTTGCACAAAAACCCAGCAAATGTGGCTGTGCCTCAACAAAACAAGCCGATCGTACAGATTTGTCCTGGTACCAAACACATGAACTGTTGAACTGCAACAGCCGTCCTCGACTTTGAGAAGGTTTGTCTGAGTTCCCAGCCTGGTGTGTGTGTGTGTGTCACACTCTGTTTCCAAGAGTTTTTACATGCAGGGGGCCGGAGCCAGGCGGGGGGGTCTCCGGCCAACGAAGACACCCCCCACCCGGGTGCAAACGTACCTGCGATCAACTGTTGTCCAAGCTGTTCTACTCTCTTTTGCGCTTTCATGGTGGTTTTCATGATACGTCCCCCAAACCAGGTTTCCATGCACGGCGTCAATTCGGTCTGCTAAGTAATCAGTAACCAATTTTCTGCAGTCATGCATCAAGAGAAACACCTTTTTTTCAAACACATTCAAGTGATCGGACGCTTCACCTTGCCGTTGAGCCATTCCTTTTCTCGGGGAATTGAGTTAACTGAAAACCCAATGTCAAAGTGTGTGCCGCTCTGCCGTCCCACTTGGGTGCAGGGTGTGATCCCCGTCACTGGGGCACTGTTTTCATGCCGGAGTATCACTAACCGATTTTGTTGCTTTCCGCACACGTTGGATTATCTTAATCGACTTTGTTTCACCACTGTATTCCCAAAATCCAAGCCGCCGGGCACCACGATTTTTACGACCGGCGGGTATACGGAAAGTCAAAGCCGCCGGGCATACGGAGAATGACCCCACACAACCCCCCCCCCCCCCCCGTTCTCTACTCCCCACCTAATTAGGGTAACAGAGGGAAATGGTACTCGACACACTTGTGTGTCGGTGCCTTTCCCTCTGTTGTCCCTGTTCTAGTCTACTCTACCCGGGCAGTTTAAGACTAAAGTCCCTAATGCTAAGTATTCAGACACACACATGTACCGCACACATGGACATACACCCCCTCCCTGCCCCCCGCTTTCTTTCTTGCGTTTTTCGTCGTTTCTTTCGCTTTCTTTCAGGCTTTTTAGGTGGTTCTTGAGGCTCGTTTCCCTGCCCCAGTCAAGGGCTAAGTATTCACCTTTTGCTACACCTATCTTTCTCTCCTGCCCTTTTAGCGCTGCTCTTTCTGTTTTTCTTTCTTTCTTTTTCATGATACGTCCCCCAAACCAGGTTTCCATGCACGGCGTTAATTCGGTCTGCTAAGTAATCAGTAACCAATTTTCTGCAGTCATGCATCAAGAGAAACACCTTTTTTTTCAAACACATTCAAGTGATCGGACGCTTCACCTTGCCGTTGAGCCATTCCTCTTCTCGGGGAATTGAGTTAACTGAAAACCCAATGTCAAAGTGTGTAGGTACATTCGTCCAATCATGTCCGATCATGTCTGACCCACTTCCCCTCTAGAGCGTCAAACATGTTTGCCGGACAAGGGGTGGATGTGTTATGAAGTCAACTTACTTGAATCTTTGTCTCAGTTTTGAATCAAATGATGGCACGGAAAATGATGGCTTGATTGATGCGGCCTGAATGAATGTCAGTCGTACTCGTGAGATCTTGTGAGTGTGAGCTTAGCTGCATCCATGACAAATGGGCTACCGGGCTACCACCAATCAAAGATCCTCACCAAATTGTTTGCCCAGCCACACCAGCACACACCAGCAAATTGAAGTTGTTGCATCTTAAGATATACTTTCCCATCTTTCCTATAAGCAAAATGAAAAAAACATGTTGCTGGAAGGGTCTGTTGATGTTTTCGTTCGGATTTTGGATAAAGTGGCCGAATGATTCGGAGAAACTAATAGGTCTTATCAGAAGGAAGCTTGTGGTCGTCATGCATGGCACTGCGTCAAAAAACATGCAGCCTCACCCCAAGATGAACGGAATAGGGATTAGCATATGTATATACCATATATAGTAATCTGTGGAACCCTGAGCAACAGTGGGCCTTGATTGACTTGATAAACATCTTTGCGGCCACCCTTTGGACCAAAGAAAACTCGATAACGGCTGCCAAAGGCAAGACCTCATACACAAGGAACGCCGCCCTAACACCCAACACCAAAATGAACCACTACTAGCGCCCCAACAGTCACAATGTAGACTGTTGATCAATCAAACAACCCATGTGCATGGTAAAGCCTCCTCACATGAGGGTTTGAACTATGAACAACATTCACTACTGCCATGATGTGTTCAATTTTCCCCAAAAGAGTGACATCCTGCTTCACCCGGTGGGCACCCTGCCCTGGGCCCTGGGCACCGGCGCCCCCACTGGGCGGCCCGAGCTCCGAGACATAGAGGGCCGAGGCCTTCAGTGCCAGGAAACCAGAATCAGTTGCTGGGAAGTGTTGCTCAATTGTCTTACCACGGAGTCTATGTAATTGAAGTAATTATTGACAACAGCGCATTTCTCCACCACAGCATTTGAGCGGCATATTGGCAACTTGAGGTTTGCTAGACTGACCTGTTCAGAACCCGTCTGACGCATCTGACTGGCTCACACGCTTTCCCAAGAGAACGGGTCAGTTCTGCACCAGACCTTGGCCTGCTGAACCATCCCTCCTCAACCCCCTCATCCGACTCGTCTAATCATGTCCTGTCATCTCTAAAGGATTCATCGATCCTGGTCACCATTCTACCTCCATCATTCATGACATGATTCATTTACCTGGTCAGTTATTCTCTTCATCATGAATCATTCTGTCTGTTCTACCTCCCTTGCTTTCCTGTCCGCTTTCCAGATTCATTCCCAGACCGATCATCTCGACCGCCCCTCCCTGCGTCCCAACGTGGCCAGCGCTCCGGTTGAGGAACCAGGAAAGCTGATTCGAAGGAAAAGGTCCTATAGATTCCTTTGCTAGTAATTAGAATTCAAATTCAATTCTTATTGTTACTAGTAGTAAGGCACTTGTTTCTAGTAGCTTCTTGTTACTACTACTAAGGCACTTGTTACTAGTAGCGATGCACTTGTTACTAGTAGCTTCCTGTTTCTGTGACTCTCTTGGAGGTGCTGGTCTTAGGAGTGAATCCATGTGGATCTATGGTCCCACTTCTTCTCACTAGTTCAGAGGTCACCAATCTTTCTATTGACCAAAAACCATGTGCCTTAACCGTGCCTACTACAGAAACCCTGTTTCTGTCGAATTGAGGGTCTTTCCGAAATGACCCTCCTCACGTTCGGAAAGCCTCCCCTGCCTCTGGCCATGCCTCCGGCCATGTGGGCCAATTGAACGAGGTGATATATGTTCTTCGATACGTTGGCTCTGTTCATGAAACTTCGCAGAAAAGTGCATGAAACGATGTTCGGAGTGAAACCAATCGTCGGCATGAAACCAATCCCCCAGAGAACCCTGGGCCTTGGAATGCGATACGCACTGGCGAAGCAACCGAGATCTGTTCGACGGTGGTCGTCTCTAGGATTCTGTGCTTGTCTTGTACGTCTGTACGGGTGTGATTGCATGTGATTGCAAGATGTTTTCATGATGAAGATTTGACAACTAATGTACAGAGCCACCTGATGTTTGTCGTTTCTGGCTTATGTTGAGAGACAATCCTGATTTTGCGTCTGCAAGTCATATCCCAAAACAATGCATACTCTTGGAATGTTCAATACTCTTGAAATTCGTACAATCCTTTCAACTCTAGACATGCCAATCTGACAATCCCTCTGACGCACCAAATCGGACGGGGATGCATGGACATGCCATCTATCCTATGCACGCATTGAATCACCGCCCGAAAGTTGTCTGACGCTAAGGATGGGAAATCTGCACCGCACAATCCACTGACAATCATGGCGAGCTCTACACGAGACATGTGGTACATCAGGGTTCTGTTAAAGAACATCTGACCCGCATGGCTGCCTCCAAAACACCACCTGACACTGCATGAGGAACCGTATCTTTCACACACCGGTCCCCAATGGTAGCCATGGTCTTCCTCCCCCCCAAAAACCTGTCGAACTGAACCTCGCGATCGGAAGTCGAAAAAGGGAACAGCAGGCTGCCGCGGGTCACTCCGGTTTGCTGAAGCCCAAGTTCACCTCGTCCAAGAGCTTGCAGACCTGCTACGGTCCACGGGGTTCACTCGTCTCTGAGAGATTTGTCGGACGGAGTCTCTGAGAGGGTGGCAGATCTTTTCAGGTCCATCAGCACCAGTCCATAGTCCAATAAAATTTACTTGGAGGATCTACTTGTCATTCTGAAACTTGACTCTTGCCCATTCATGTTGCGAAAATGTCCGACACCAAACATCAACTCCCAAGTTTATATACCCACGGGGCGTCCACGCTTTGATGCTGTGTCTCGCGCTGCCTACAACGCGTGCGCCCCGTGCGAAATCCCCGCGGTCCTTGGGACGCGAGTCGGAAGCCGTTTGCATTGAAAACCACCATCTTGGCCACCAAAGAAGAAGAACATCGTATATAGGGTCTCCAAAAAGGCTATATAGAAAATATTGATGAACAAAAAACATCCTTATGTATGTGTATTAAAATTATACTATATGCAGCATATACTTTGGTGATCTTCTTCTACATGAGCGGCCAAGAGGGCAATGTATGTACAGCTTGAAAAATCTTGAAAACATCTCCAGGCGAGAGTTGTTTCTTGGACATGGCTAGACCACCGGCGGTGTTTGCAGGGCTTGCTGGAGCGCCAAATCAAATCCCTCCATGTCCACAGAGACGTAGCCTGTAGGATGATCCTGACAGATCAAGAAGGCCCAAAAAGTGTCAGCGGGGGGCATTTGAGGAAACATGCGACAGCCTTCCGACCTATATAATATTCTGTTATATAGTAGGCTACTCCATGTATCGCATGGCAAGAAGCAGTGTCCAACATGCGGCATGCCAATGCACTTCAAGGATACCCCAATTTAATGGATGTGAAATTAGTAAGAAAATGAAACAAAAAACGCATGATATATATATATGTGTATAAATCTATATAAATCTAAATATGTTGGGAAGGTCAGAGCTGGCGTGTATGTTTTTCCTCCGCACGAAGTCTCAAGAATGCTGGAAACTCGGGAAAGTGAACTCTGTCGCTGGTGTCGCTGGTCGGCTCTCCTGGTAGCGTCTCAGCAAAACCACGAAGTAGCGCAGCCAGGGAGCACCACCTTAGAGCGGAAGTACACCACTGTAGACCCCAAACAGGTGGGGCAACAAAGAAGCATTCCCAAGTCCATTTTAAGACGGGGACAAGAAGGAAAACAAGGCGGACACAATGACGGGGACAAGAAGGAAAACAAGGCGGACACAATGACCAACAAGAAGGGAGACAAGAAGGAGACAAAAGGAAACAGAAGGGAGACATGACATGACGGACACAATGACCAACAAGAAGGGAAACAAAAAGGATACAAAACGGACACAATGACCAACAAGAAGGGAGACAACAAGGGAGACAAAAGGAAACAGAAGGGAGACATGAGGGACGCAGGAAGGCGGACACTCTTAGAAAACTTTGAGAACCCCTGACAGTAACCTATTTGGGGAACAAAAAGAGAAGAGACTATGAGCGTAACTACGTGGATACGAAACGATCTTGAACTACTATGTGGGTACCTGGTATTTTGTGTATTGCTGTGACAGCTGTTGCCATTGTCTGGGTAGCTCTGGTGGCTTTGCTCTGGTTGCTCGTTCATGTCGTTCGCTCGTCAGTGTTTAACAACTTTTGTATGACCAGTGCGGGTTTAGGGAGGCTTTTATTATGGATCATTTTCTCCGAAAAAAATCGCTGAACTTGGGCGCCCCAAAATAGTTCTTCCATCAGGGCCGCAGTCACGTTCTACAAGATACGCATGGTGAGTGCCCTTAGAAAAGGAAACCTTAAACAGGGTGCCCTCCAGCAACAAAACCTTTCGGGCCCACAGCTCGAAACCTCTCTCCCATCCCAAAAGTGCCATCGCACAGGCGCGCTGCCTTTTTCTAGCCAATGGCTGATAGTGTGGGGAAAATCGGTCAAAGTCAAAAGGCATGACCTGCTATACATGACCAGATTCTCTGTCAGAGCTTGGGGGTCCACACTATCCACTCCCCGGCCCCAAAAACAATGGACCACACTCACGCAAAACAAATGAGAGACCAATCTGAACCTTCCAAGTTTAGGGAGGCGGGCGGGTAAAAAATGGAACACAAGAATCACCACAGCAGTGTGCAAAGGCGCCAAAAACCACAATGGGTACACTGCTGTGACTGAAAGTGGCGAGGAAAATTTCATCACCGAAGCAAGAAAGGCGCAATGGTTTACACATGGGAAACCACACCTTGCACGCATTGGCACAAATTTGCCTGTTGGTTGGCTTTTCCTCCAGTTGTATTCGAGAAATCAAGTTCTGTCAGACCGGGAAGGTACCCATGCAAAACCGCCACCGAGCCTAGTCGACCATGGAGTGAAAAAACCATGGAGGAAAGCAGACAACAGGCACCCTGAGGGGCGGGTCCATAGGTGCCCTGAGCATCGAATCTTGATTCTGATCAATAAACTTCTGTCTTTTTTGATTGATTTTGATTTGATTGAATATATTGATTTGATTGATTTTATTTTTTTTGATTTTTATAAGCTCTAGAAGTTCTTAAAATAGTCAGATTTTATATTGATTTTCTGTTTGATTTTTGCCTTGAAACTTTTGTTCCCAAATATTGATTTTTGGGGTGCATGCTGCTTGGAGTTTTGGCTCAAGAGGTGCTCTGTATAAAGCTCTATAGGGAAAGCCCTTAACCTTGAAAAAGGTATATAAGATCCTAGAGAAAAAAGGAAAGCCCACAACTACCTTGAAAAAGGTATGTCTGGCAGAGGAGGGGCTAGGCATTTCAGCAAACCTTTGATTGATCAAGGTTTGCTGTATAAGGTCCTTTGTGACCATGAAGATCTGGTGATGGACATGAAGGGGTATGAGCAGTTGAGCAGGAACAGTGCTGTCAACCCCAAAGCTATGCACCAGATGCTCCCCCTCATCAATGCCTTGGTGGATATAGAGGGGTCAGCTGAGATCCATCCCCAAGGGGTGAGATCTGCATTGCTGCATCTCATCACTGAGAAGCCTGAGCTGAACACCTCCAAATATAATGGAGCTGTGTTTGTCAACCTCAGGGCAGAGCGATTGGGTGTGTTGCTTCACCATGTCAGAAAACTGGCAAGGAACACGCCCACACCCAGTGTTGTCTCTGCCCTGACTGCCCAGGAGTTCCAAGAACTCACTGAAACCTTGAAAAAGGTTCAGCTGAGGCAGACCCTGCCTTTGAAAAAGGTGGGTCACAGGCAGCACAGGCAGGTGAATGCAGCAAGGGTTCCTTGAAAAAGGATTGGCAGCCTTTGAAAAAGGGCAAAGCTTTGAAGGCAACTGCCAGCAGCAAAGGCACCTTGAAAAAGGTGAAGCAGGGCAGCCCCTTGAAAAAGGGAGTTGTTTGGGGAGATGGGCAGCCCATGGTTGCTGTCTCCCCAAATAGCAGGAAGCTCAAGTCCACTGCAAGCGATGTCTCTGTGGACTCTGCAGGCTTCCCCAAGATGCTGGCTAGCCCCAAAGCAAGTCCACCAAGGCTGTGGAAACAAAAAAGGCCAGGCAGCAAACACCAGGCTGAACCTACCAGGCATGAAGACCTGAAGGCAGCACTGGGTGTCTTGAAAAAGCCAGCTGCAGCCTTGAAAAAGGCAGTTGCTAAGGAAGGCTCCTTGAAAAAGGTGCATGCAAAGAAGGTCTCCTTGAAAAAGGAGACCAGGAAGCCTTGGGTGAAGCTTTCTAAGACAACAGCTAAAAAGCCACCCAGGTGCTATCTGACTGGTAGCCATAGCAATGAGCAGAAAAAGTTTTTGATTGTGGAGGTGGCAAAGACCAGAAGCCTCCAATACAGCTGGGTGGTAGACAGGATCAAAGAGTCACTGGAGAAGGATCACCTCACAAAGGAGGAGGCCCTCCAGATGAGGGAAGACTTGTGTGCAGAATTTCCTTGAAAAAGGAAAATCCACAAGTCAAGGAACACCTTGAAAAAGGTGTAGTTCCTGTGCCACAGTGTATATAGGTGTGAATGATGTACCTTGAAAAAGGTACAAAGTTTTGGATAGGGTGCCTGTGTGTGAAAAAGGCTTCCATGGCACAGGCTCTGCATGACTTGGGCATGCTTCAGGTGACACCCTGTCCCACCAAATATGTTTGTGTTTTTAGTTTAGACCACATGGGTGCCACCTGAAGCATGTCAAGAACACAATGTCTCTGCAGCTGTTTGGCTCATGAAGCTAGCATGCTTGGGCGCAGCTGCACCACCACACTCCACACTTCACAGCTCACACAGTGCACAGTTCACTACTTACACAACTTACACACTGCACAGCACACTGCACACTCTACAAAAGAGCACACTTCACACAGAGACACAAAATACCACACAATACACAACACTAGGGCAAACAACCTAGGCCCACCTGTAGCCTGCCAAGGTGGTCCAAAGTGGCCCTAAGGTCAGTTTGAAAAAACTGACCTTGTCCAAGTTTGTGCAAAACTTGGCAAAATAGCCAAAAGAACTGGCTTGAAAAAGCAGGGCTTGAAAAAGCCAGCCTGCTTGAAAAAGCCAGCCTGCTTGAAAAAGCAGGAGGCCCAGCTTGAAGAAGCTATGGCCAACAGCAAGGAGAGGTCCTCTGGCTCTGGCACCACCAGCCAGAGCAGAAGGGCCCAGAGACAAGGGCAGCAATGGACCTCCTTGGCCCATGCTGACCCTCCCTGCATCAGCTCTGAGAGCTTGCAGGAGAAGGTTGCTGCCTTGAAAAAGGCATTGACCTCAGCTGAAAGGCAGCTGGAAGAAGCCTTGAAAAAGGAAGCAGAGGACACTGAGGCCTTGAAAAAGGCTGAAGAAGACCTGGAAAAGCTCACCCTGAGGGGGAAGAAGGGGCCCAGGTCCAGGTCCCAGAGCAGGACCAGGCTGTCCTCTGCTGAGGAAGCTGCAAGGGAAGCTGCCCTGAAGCAGAAGCTCACCAGGCAGCTGTCCCAGTTGAAGCTGGAGACTGACCCTTCCTTGAAAAAGGAAGACAGTGCACCCAGTGCACCCAGCACCTTGAAAAAGGTGGCTGACAGCTCCAGCTCCTCCTCCAAGCCCTTGAAAAAGAGGCCATGTGTTGTTGTGGACTGGCACAACACATTGGAGGAGAAGGATGCAGTGCCCCACAAAAATGTGGTGGCACTGGAGACCCTCATGCTGGCGGTGGATGTGCACATCATCAGCTGGGTGGGCTCTTCTGCAAGGTTTGAAAAAACCATGCAGGACATCCAACAGTGGCTCCCAGCTGAGACCTTGAAAAAGGTCAAGAGCTTCAGATGCATCTACAAAATGGTAGGTGCTGAAGGGAAGGTGGACTGGGCTTGCTATCTGGGGGCACAGGCTGTGTTTGATGACCAGCCTGATGTCATCCAGGAGGCTTTGGAATGGGGTTTGGAAGGATACCCCATCAAAGCCTGGGGCAAGAACCACCAGGGCACATCCTTCTGGTCGTTTGCTGACGCAGTGGAGCAGTACCTGAAGGACAGGACACCTTGAAAAAGGTGACCAAGCCCTGGTGGCCCTTGAAAAAGGGCCTTGCCCCTGAAGCCCAGCCCAACCCTTGAAAAAGGGAAGTGACCCTTGAAAAAGGGTGAATTCAAAGTGGAAGCATGCATGGTTTCACCAGGGTGTTGGCTTCCCCAGAGTTTTTGTATACACACTAGGTACAGAATATGTCATGTTTTATGTAGCAAAGTTTTGGTATGTATATGCACACCTTGTGTTGTTGTTGGAATGGGGAAGCCAACTTTTGCCCAGCAGCATGAGACTTGGCCAAAAAGGCTAGGTGAGGAAAAATATATTAATAGTAATAATAAATCAATAAATATTTAGTGAAATAGTATATATTTAATGTTGAACATGTGTGTTTATTATGAACTATGATTATATAAAAATAAATATTTTGTTTGATGAACATATGAATTATGAACATATATTTTTGTCCTCTGAGTATAATATTTGATGAAATATGATTTATGAAAATACTTTTTGTCAAATAATTTGCAGTACATTATATTTATTTTTAAAATACATTTGTTTGCCAACAAAAAATATTTTTTTAATTAAGTATGTTGTTTGATAATGTTTG